GTTGGGATGCAGGCGGGAGTGTGGGGTGCAAGCTCTGGGAGGAAGCTTGGGTGCTGGAGGGGGCTCAAGGCTGGGGTGGGGGGTTGGGGTGTGGGAGGGGGTGCTAGCTCTGAGAAGGACTTTGGGTGTAGGAGGCTCAGGGCTGGGGCAAGGGGTTGGGGTGCAGGCACTGGGAGGGAGTTTGGGTGCAGGAGGGGGCTCAGGGCTGAGGTTGGGATGGGGGAGGGGTGAGAGGTGCAGGCTCCAGGCGAGCGGCGCTTACCTCAGGTGGCTCCTGGGCAGCGGCACTGTGAGGCTAAGGCAGGCTTCCTGCCTGCCCTGTCCCTACGCTGCTCCTGGAAGCTGTCAGTATGTCCCTGCAGCCCCGGGGGGGAGTGGGAAACAGGGTTCTGCACACTGCCCCGACTGCAGGCACTGCCCCTGCTGCTCCCATTAGCCGCAGTTCTTGGCCAATGGGAGCTGCGGAGTCAGTGCTCTGGGTGAGGGCAGCACGTAGACGCCCCCCTGACCTCCCACACCCAGGGGTCACGGACATGCCAGCCGCTTCCGGGAGCGGCGCAGGACCAGAACAGCCAGGGAGCCTGCCTTAGCCCCGCCATGCCACCGGACTTTTAGCGGCCTAAAATCTCCCAGTTTGGCTTCAGCAGCCTCCGGGAGACAGAGCCCGATTCTGGGAGACTCCTAACGAAACCAGGAGGGTTGGATAACCCTATGCACAACACCTTCAAACAACTATAATGGGAGCTTAAATTAATAATTTTGCTACACGTTAACAATCTTGGTCTTAATAAAGACCTTGGATTTGTGGTTTGTTACAACAACTTGTAACCCACTAACCCCTCTTTTTCTGTTTGATGTCTGCAGAGATGTAACAGGGCACCTCCCTTAGAATATATGTTAACTACTTATGCTAAACAATCTATTCCACGTTCTATTTTGCTGTGACACTCTGAGTACTTTCCCAGGCCTGAAAAAAGCTCTGTGCATCTCAAATCTTTTCACTAATAAAAGTTGGTCCAATAAAAGATATTTCCTCACTCACCTTCTCTCAGTTATTTACAAGACATGCAGGAACTATAACAACCTAAAAATGCGATATCCAAAAACTTAAAAAATATGGACATGGTCCTTACATTACTGACAACCGTATAAAAAGATGTCTGTTCTAACTTCAAAACCATTTTATAATGAGGTAAGTAATTGATGGTCAAGCCATTTCCTGGAGATTAGTGACCAGTCCCTGTGTGGATCTGAGCCTTGGTGACTGGCCTGTAATTCCAGTGCATTTCTGTAACAACCTACCTATTTAAAAACTATTTTTAATTTTGGAATTAAAAATTCATATAAATTTTAACTTAGATTTTGTTTAAAAATATACAAGTATATGTTAAAAGGATGCCACTAATACAATAATCACACTTCTGCCTGAGAGATGTTTAAAGCCTACTATGGTTAAAAGTAATACAAAAAATACTACAACTAAAAGATATTACAAGGAAAAACATTTTCTCTATTGCTTTCAGTTTGCGTATTTCATAGCACTTTGGCCCTGATCTTCCAAGAAGAACTATGTAGGCAGAGCCCCAACAAAGTAAACAAATGCAAAGGTCTAACCCCCCAAAGGGAGCTTGCAGGATCCAGGTCCTTTACATGTAATCATTTTAATCAAAGTCAGTTTTCACTGTTGTCCAGGTTTTTCATATAGAAACAGGAGAGAAAATTTTTTAAAACAGAAAAAATCAGCTGTAAAATAAAAATTTATAGGATGCTTGGGCAGGTGTCTTACCTGAAACTAAGTTTAATTATTTGTATTTGGATGTTGACTAGAATTCAAGCTGATGCTGTTCCTAAAATCTCTCTCTCTCACACACACACAACATTCTTTGTTATAAGAAGAACAGGAATACTTGTGGCACCTTAGAGACTAACAAATTAAATTTGTTAGTCTCTAAGGTGCCACAAGTACTCCTGTTCTTCTTTTTGCGGATACAGACTAACTCGGCTGCTACTCTGAAACCATTCTTTGTTATGCAATTATAAGATGACGTAGTCTACAAAATCTCACTCTTGTGGTTCATACTATGAAAAAGTTTGAACACCATATGTAAATAAATAGACTTTGCTAGTAGTAATTGCATTAATGCTGAGATGCTGTTTCCATTCTTACACCACTTTTTCACTTGCTCATAACTAGAGCCCTGCGCGGATAAAAAAAAACAAACAAAAAAACAAACAAACAAAAAGGTCCATGGATATAAACCAGATATCTGCAGATTTGCAGAACTCCAGATACAAAATTTGTATCTGTGTCTCATCCATGATTCACAAAAATGGTCCACGGATATCTGCATCCACAGGTGTGTGTATCCATAGATACAAAGCAGATATCTGCAGATTTGCAAGTCTCTACTCATAACTTCTTTAAAAAAAATCCTTTGGGGCTGAAACTTTCCATACTGAAAAACAGATTTTGCTAAAAAAACGTTTGAGCAAAATGGGCTCTGCTATTTTACGTGGTAAGTGAATTCTTGCTCCTTTCCCATGAATTCTAAAGTAAAATGTTGTGGCCATATAAGTAAAAAACGGCTGAAGCAAGAAACTTCAAACATGGCTTATTTTACAGTCTTTACTGAAAAAAGAAGAACAGGAGTACTTGTGGCACCTTAGAGACTAACAAATTTATTAGAGCATAAGCTTTCGTGGACTACAGCCCACTTCTTCGGATGCATATACTATATGTATATAAGTATATAAGTAAGTGGGCTGTAGTCCACGAAAGCTTATGCTCTAATAAATTTGTTAGTCTCTAAGGTGCCACAAGTACTCCTGTTCTTCTTTTTGCGGATACAGACTAACACGGCTGCTACTCTGAAACCAGTCTTTACTGAAGGAGACAGACTTAAGACCTGGCTCCAACAGAGAGAAGAAGCCTCATTCTGGCTTTGGCTGAGTAATAGACCTAGTCCTTTAGGAACTCATCAGCACTTGAGTGGTGACTTGGATTTGATAACTCTTTCTTCCATTGCCAAATAAATCCCATGGTACTACTAGCCCTTACAAGTCCGGAATCTTTTCATCATGGGGCTGTGTTGAAGAAGGTGACAGCTGCTCAGTCACTGTGCGTTGCTGATCTGCCTGACCTGCAATAGGACTGCTTCATTCTTTTCCTTCTTCCCCTACAGGGGGGAAAAAAAATCCCTAAAGTAAAGGAAATATGGAGGGTAAGGCTGGGACAGAAAGGACTGGGAGGTGACCCAGGCAGAGACAGAGGGTGGCTTTGGGTGGGGGTGGGGCTGTCAAGGTGAGAAAGAGCGGGGAACAGACCAGTACTGGGGGTTAGGGAGAGACGAAGGGGCCCTGGGAATACAGAAAGCCCGGAGGGGGATTAGAGCAGAGCAGATGTGCGGTAGCCAAGTCGAGGGGAGGGAAGAACTGGGTGTTCCGTCAGACGGGGCGGGGCGGGGCGGGGCGGTCTCTGCCACCGGCTAACCGCCCTCGTGTGGACGGCTCCGCGAGAGCCCCTAACTCTCTGCCTCCGCCTCCCCTCGGCCACGTGGCCTGAAGGGCCTCTCACCCCGCCAGCCAGGAGGCAGAGGAGCGGCTCTTGGGGCTGAGGCAGCGTGAAGAGCCCTAGGGTTTAGGAGTGGGGTCAGGGATC